GAGCCGAGGACACATAGCATCAATTTACAGTTCTCTGGAAAAAGGTCTCCCCGAAGAGGGAGGGAAAAAAACCCTCAAAACAACCAAGAAAAAGGAAAAAAGCGCTCATGACTTAACCCCGCCCCCAAAAAGAAGAGAAACGTGACAACACCCACGGGTTGGCATCACAATTTGGCCGCCAGCCCCCCACGCCCCCCTACTTACATACATTCGTTAACATGGTGCACGCACAGAGCGGACACAGAAAATGAGTGGGAATATGAACATCCAATAGAACATACTTGGGTCTAATGTAGACATCAACAGAAAGAAAAATCAGACATGACCCGGTACGCCTGAGCCGTGGCTTTCGCCTTGTCCTTTTCGGAAAGAGCTGGAGCACGACGGTGGCTGGGAATGCGAGAAGGGGGAACGCCTTTGGGAGCCCAGCGAGGACCCAGGGTGATGGAGCCCACCCAAACGCCGCTGTGCCTCTGCCACCCTGTGCCAAGACCTACGAGCACTCTGGCTTCACCAAAAACCTTCCCAACGTGCGATTTCGGCGCATGCGGTTGAGCCACTCACCGCAGAGGCGACAGCAACCAAAAGCTGGATCCCTTGCGTGAACATTCAAGGGCTCTCTACACCAGCTCCTTGGTTTGCCCCAACGCCCCTGCTCTACGCATGCCTGCGAAGGGCAGAGCCTTTACAGGAGCTTGACAGCAAGCATAGAGAGCGAGACACCAGTTTTCTCTTGCCAAATCCATACCTGGCAGGCAGCAGCCACCTGCAGTTTGGCAAGAGCCCGAGCCAAAAGCTCACCAGCAACCTCAGCACCAGGCAATGTTCAAGGGCATGACCCGCAGAGTTGAGGGTCCCAGCTGGGATGATGGAGAGTGGTGGCAAACAGAGCTACGTGGGAACCGGCTGTCTGGCAGGGCTGCTCTGCTCATATCTCGGTGGAGCAAAAGAAACACGGTGCCTCCTTTTAACGATGGAGAGAGCAGGGGGTTACAGCAGGAACAGCACCTGCCAGCGAGCTGCTGGTCACTAGAGAAAGCCCTGACAGAGAAAGTACTGGCAACTTATGTCCCGGATAAGCTGGAAGTACAGCCGGAGGGCCATTCAGACCAAGGACGGGTGGTGGTTCTCTTCCCCAAAAGAGGGCTGATGCTCTTTCCTGTGGGCAAGACCTAGTCCTGCCCTCCTCTGACTCTGCGCGTCCTGTAAAGGCAGCCTTGACAGCGCTTGGGAAATGCTCCAGAGCTCCCCAACGCTCTCATGCCACAGCGCAGCGCAGAGAGACGGGCTAAGAGCAAGCTTTAAACTGCAAGGTCCTTTTAGCCTCCCTGGGAAGCGGAGGCTGAGCAGTTCTCCAGCACCAAGCTAAACAGACAGCAGGTGATACGCAGCAGGGAGCGTGTGCAAGCCTGGAAAGGGGCAGTTTCCTTTTCAGATCAGTATCTCCCTAAAGGAAGGTTCCTCCTCTCCCCTCACATTGACAAAGTTGCTCTAAGCCCTTTGCACGTCCTCTCACAGGACCAACCCTCTGTGTCCAGACCTGCTCGCTCTAAAAGGCTCAGCGTTACAGAACTGCACAAGGATTGTCTCAAAAAGCCTGACATTTGAGGAAAGATGATGCTTGGAATGAACATGCTGCAAAAGGTCTGGGTTTTCCCACATTTCTTGGCATCAAGCGCAGCTCCAGCTTGCAAAGTTCATTCACTGAGATACTCCATGAAGGTGGGGCTCAGGTGCTCCCTGCACAGAGGCTAAGCAGCTTTAGAGACCCCAGAAATGAGGGGAAGGAATAAAGTCTCTATCAATGATGCTTAAACCATCTTAAACAAGATGCTTGATTTCAGTTGGCTGGAAAGTCCCAACAAGGCTAAACCCACCAGGTACCAGGGCAGCTGGGCCTCGGGTCAGACAGCCCGAGCCCAACCTCCCGGGTTCCTCCCCAGAGCTACGTTCCTCCAGCACAGCACCCAAGAGCAACATCTGAAGATGCAGAAGGGATGTGGCTCCCTCTGGCCTCTCTATGCGTGGCATCACGCTTCTAGAGGAAAAAAAACGAAGGCTGAATTTTTAGCATTTTGAAGGCTCTTGCTTTCAGCCCAGAGGCAGGTTAGTCTGTAGGTATTGCACTCCTCCCGACTCCCCTCCGCCGAACTGCTGACCCCCCACAGCACTGCCCACGCAGCCTGCGGAGCCCAGGCAGGACTGGCACAAGCAGATGGGGTGGGTTAGGAACCATTTCCCAGCCTACCGCAGGGGCCGTCATGGAGCAACGCTACTAGCTGGGTGAACGAGCTCTCAAGTAGCAATTGAAAGGAGAGAGTTTCTTGAAAGACTTTTGATAGATAATTTGGTAAATACATGGACACATCTGATGGCAGCAGCTTGCAAGATCCACAGACTGCTCTCGAGAGAAGCACACCTTACAGCCTTCAGCATCTGCAGGAAAGGGAGGGAAGCCTGGGTCCCGTACTTTTAGGCAAGAAAATGTCAATTCATGAAGATCCTCACCCTGTTCAGCAGATTGCAGAGGGGAGGAGATTCCCACCAGCCCAGTTACCTTCTGGGACCTGAATTAACCCATCCCGAGTGCTGCTGTGAAGACAGATGGGGGAACTGAGCCCCGAGAGAAGGGCCTCGCTTCCCCACTCCTCTACAAGGAATCCCAAGGTCAGGCTGAAGATTGTAATGCAAATAAAGAGATTTTGACCCTCTTTCTCAAGTGAGGCTTGTAAAGCACGAGTAAGGCCTGGCTCCCTCTGGTCTAAAGGATTTCCTTTCTTCTCTCTGGGAGATGAGGATGGGATTGCTAGAGTTTAAGACAATGCTATGGTGTGTGTCCTGCTGACAGATGGATGAGCCTAGTCTGAACACTACCCAGTGACACCAAATCCTGTTGCCTAAAGCCTGCAGCCATCGAAACGCAAACTATCTCAGACATCCGAAGCAGCAATTTCCAATAGCAGATGTTACCACAGGCAACATCCCAGTCACCCAGCTTTTTGTCCAACGGAGTCCGTGAACACAACACTGCCTGGCGCAATTAGGTGGCAGAGCCAGGCTTCTGTTTCTGCCTCCCGTGTGTGCGGACGTGCACGTGCCTCCCTGACTGCCCTGAGGTACGGAGGATACGTGAGAACCCAATGTTCGTGACCCCCGAGTACCGGGCGGTCGGATACACCCATGAGCATGCGAGGTGCTAAGTGGCTCCAATAGGATGCATTGTCCAGACAAGCCACACCTGGGGCCGGGCAGACTGGGGAACTTGCACTCCAGCGTGGCTGGTTCCAGGAGGTGCACAGTTCTCATCTGTCCGTGCCTGTGTGTCTGGAGCAGGCGGCGGTGCGGCAGCCGGTAAGATGAAGCGTGGACTCCAAGCACAGAGGGACGGGGTGATGCAGCAGTGCAGCACATGGTGAAGGCAGAACCCATCGCAATGTCCGGAGGAGAGCCGAGGTGACCACGTCACTGTCGCCAGGAATCGTTTGCTTCCCCCGCACAGTGTTAGAGATCAAGAGAAGTCACTAGCGATTTTTGAATCCAAGTAAATTGGCATGGCTGCTTTGGACTACTGTAACATGGGAGCAATTCTATTCAATGGCCTTTAATACATTGCATTTACATAGCACCTTTCATCCCAGGGTTTAAGTGCTTTAACGGAAGTGGGTACTGTACACCCATTAGCATGGGGGAAACCGAGGCACAGAGTGGTTAAGTGACTTGCCTTAGGTCACTCGGCAAAACCGTGGCAGAGTCTGGACAGCCTTAAACCTCCCGACTCCATCAGTTGGTTAGACCACGCTGCTGCCTCAAATGAAGCCACTCCGGTCCCTGCCCTCCCCAGCAATGTGCTCCTACCAATTCTCCAGTGAGGTCTCACACTCCTTTCTGATGCACAAATATATGACAAAAAAAAAAGTGCAGTAAACTAAATGTTTAAAAAAGCACATTTGTGCTGTCTCTGTGCAAAGATAAAAGAAATAAATACATGATTAAAAAATTAAAAAGGTTCACAGTATCACACATGGATAGGTAGCTACAGTAGTGCACGTCTGGAAAACACTGTGTTACTACCCAGGATTCTCTACACCCAGCTGGATGTCTCCGTTGGGAGCTGCGGGTGAGTGGGTGGTTTCTTTGCTGCCCACGTCTGGGATAAGTAGGAATACACGATTATAGTTTTGCTCCATTCTGAAATGCAGTGCCCGGGATCCTGCAGTGCAGCAATACTGGTGTCAGCAAGCTCTTCCCCATCCCACTGGAACGGCTGCATCAACGAAAAGGGAACACATCGACCTGCAGAGGGAATCGCTGCTCTCTGGGGCTTCTGTGTCTGCATAGAGATTACTGCAAGAGGCAGAGAAAAGAGAGTCAACACCCAAGCATCCGCCTTGCATTCAGTTAGGTCTGAGCCCAGCCAACTCCCCAGAATCAAAATGAGTGTGAAGAGAGAAGGCTGTTTGTTTTGCATCCTCCAGTAACAACACCATGACTGGAGAACTTCAGCTCCCCAAAGCTTTCACTGCACCAAACGTTTCGCAACAAGCCACAACCCTTGCTGAGCAGACCGGGTTTCTGCCAGTGCAGGAGATCTCGCCTGCTGCCCAGAGCTGATCCGAGATGCAGCAGGGCTCTGCCGCAGCCATGCAAGAGCCCCATGCTGCGCAGAGGCCACAGCGGCTCCCTCTGCAAGCTGACCTTGCAGAGGGAGCACAAGCTCCGACCTCAACCCACCGGGCACCCGGCACACGTTTCTTGTACACTTACTGTATCGCTCTCCTCATCGGAGACAGAGTGGAGTTGAGCGCTATAGTGGAGCGGGGAGTAAACCCAACTCCTCTCGTCTGTCGGCTGCCAGAGTGGCCAGAGACGGCGGGGAGAATGCAAGGAGAGCAGCAGCAGAGCAGGGAGCAAAGGAGAGAAGAGGAAAAAATAAAAGGAGAAAATAAAAAGAGTAGGAAACAATACAGTAAGAACAGCTGTCCACCTGGAGGGAGAGAACTGAGCTCAGTGCCAGCTCTCAGCAGAGGAGCCTTCCTCATCCTCAGTACATACCTGCTCCCTACCAGCTGGGACATGGGACAGCCTGCCAGCAGCTGACATTGGACCCCGCTCCAGCTGCAGTGGGGATGGCACAACCTCTCCTCTTGCAGGGACAGATTTTTAGAGCTTTTGAGATGCCAGGGAAACCTCAGCTCCCTGCCACAGCACCACCCTGGCTCCAGAGAAACCAAGAGACATGGGAATCGACTTACCTAGGGGCAGTGACAGAGCTCTCAGTTCCTGCTACCCACTCCCAGCTCTCAACCCCCGTTTCCTGAGCCCTGTGCATGCTACAAGCTGGCATCTCTGGTGTCCAGGAGGGCTTTTACAGTGAAACCTAATCTGGTTTGCTGCGCCTTCCCCCTTCCCTGCAGGCCAAGCAAGGCAGCAGATGGGTGGGTTAGACCATGGTGGATGGTGGCCACAGAAAGGAAACAGTTATTGCTGAGAGTCTTGGAGACAGTGGGGTGATGGGAACAAGTACAACAAAGGAGGCAAAACACAACTGGATCTTGGAAAGAATGAGGGGGAAGGGGATGTGCCTCGAGGGAGCCGGTTATCACAGCACTGGGCATTGGTGTGACGAAACACGCTTCTGCTGCCAACACAGCACAGAGAAGCCCAGGCAGATTCAAGGGCTGGTGTCTGCTTCCAATGTTCCCGGGGCACCCCGGGAACAAATGGGCTCTTTTGGCTCCAGAGGTGCTCCCAGAGAGAGGAAACTGCCCCCTTTGACTCAGCCTGAGGTTTGCAAAGGAAGAGAAATGGAACTGGGTACTTGGAAGAAGCCTGGGGGGGTTCCCAGCCCAGGAACCAAGTATAACAGTCTACAACGTACAAGAAACTACAAGAAGCCAGAGGAGCTTTGAAGCACTGGGCTCCGCATGCTGAACCCCATCAATAATTGCAGCTATATTAGCAGAGACAGCTGGGAGGAAGGAAGGAAGAGAAACCCTTGCCTGGAGCTTCTTACAGGGCTCTGCCAGAGGTGCAGGAAAGCTCAACGCTGCATAAAGCCTGCCCCACATCCTGTTTTTCATCCACCCTGACTGAACTGCGTGCTCCAGCCAGCCTCTTTCAGAGCCTTTTAGGAGCTCAGATGCATGCAAGGAGCTGCAAACCCCGTGGGGAGATAAAGGAGCATCCGGTGCTTGGTATTAACCCTCCCAGTGCTGGAGCAGCCAAACCCAACCGAGGGGGCAGGAGGAGCTCCCAGGAGGGGTGGCCCGTTTGCCCACATAGGTGCAGCTCTTTCCTCATGCCATCAGCCAAGGCCAGGAGCACGTTACTGGCCCTGCTTCCCCATGCACCCTGCCTGATGCCCTCTCCACTGCTCCCCTGCCTGGTACCAAAAAGGCAGGCGCTGGGAGGACCACGCTTGTGCCAAGGCTCTGACAGCACTGCCATTACCCTCTGAGGACATCAGCTCTCCCAAAGCCTGAGAAGGGAAATATTAAAACCCAAAGCAGTCTGAGCTCTGGATTCAGCCCCTAAATGCTCAACTGCCTCCTTGCATCTTTCGGAAAGGAAAGGAAAGCCCTCACCGCTCACAGAAAACCTGCAGTGAGGAAGGAGCACTTCAGCGATGTTGAGAAGGGCTGGAGAGCAGAAGCCATCCCTAACCCAGCAGCAACTCCTAACTCATTTGGCTTTATGAGCTGCTCACCATCCCAGCCACCAGAAAGACGACCAGCCACAAGCCTAAAAGGTTACATTTGCAACTGGATTTTTAGCAGCTTCAAAACATTTTAACAGTCTCTTTGGAACCCTGTCTGGCTTCCTGGGCCAAGGGAACTGAGCCTAACATTACCTACAAAGGCTCAGGTACCTCTCTGGCCAGGTCTGGTGCTTGCAAGTTTGTCCAAGGGTGATACTGCAGGCCATCCTATGGCAGGAGCTGTGTCACCAGCCTGCAGAAAAGTAGGGCAGAGTATGTATTTCTGCGAGATCCGTCTGTGCGATTTTGATATGCCTCCCCAGTTTCTGCTGGGCTGGTTCCTAATGGCCACACAATACAGAGCCACAGCATCCAAGGGAAATGGAGTGCTGGCCCCAGTGTTTCAAAGCTACAGCTCTGCTCCCCTACGTGCTAGCATGTTCACTTACAATCCCAGAGGAAAGCGAGGTGGTTCGGACTCTGCGCTGGCGGGGAGAATAAATCCAGTACCTCCCATCTGTGAACTGGATGGCCCCAGGGCAAGTGAAGTGAGAAAGGAAACAGAGGAAAAAAGGATGACATGAAAGAGAGGATGAAAGAGAAAGCAAAAAACAAGGGGTTGGGCAACTCCAGGCCTGATCGGATCAGCGGGCAGGAAAGCCGTGCGTGGGAAGAGCAGCGCCCATGCCCTGCCGCAATCTCTGCACTTTTATTCCCCTGTGGGTGAACAGGAGGATAAAGTGCTCTCCTTTCAGGAGCAGACTTCCAAAGATCACACTGGGACTTGACAAATCATCCTCTGCACATAGCATGCCTTCACCGACCATCGCCCCTGGAGCACTCCTGCAAGAGAGCAGCTGCGGTCCAAGCCCCGCCGCACTCCAGTGCAGCCTTACTTGAGCTCCAGCTCAAGTGGTTTTCCAAGGAGAGCGCCCATGGGAACCCAAATCAGCTTTTCCCTTCATCCCAGCAGTGACAAACACTCCACAGCACACGACACACATTTAATGCAACACTCAAGGACTTAGATGAAGTATGAAATGCTGATGAGCAGTCAGTCATGCTCTCTGTGAGCACACACTGCACACAGATGGTCTCCTCTGGATAGAGAGGTGCCACTCAAGTTGGGGGAAGTCCATATGCCCAGGGATAGGGAAGAAGAGGAGCTGACCCTTGCCAGAAGACACTTGCCAGTGGAGCAGGCAGTATCTGCAGGCAGCTTGCACACAGCTGCCATCCACAGGCAAAGAAAGAGCAGCCAGTATTAGAGGGAGCTGTTTGCATTTTGAACAGCATGCATAAAAACCCAAACAGACAAGCTTTTAAAATGGAGCTGATTCCTTCCACAGCTCCCACGAGCCTTGGAATGACTCGGCAACGAGTGAGCAGCTCCGCAGCAGAGTCACACAAGCACAGGGAAAGGCAAACGTTGCCATTTTTAGGTTAGCCTGAAGGAGCTCACCACAAGGGCCCAGCTCATCTCCATCGCCATATAACCAACTGCAACGAGTCAGAGCAGGGAGCAGCTGGCCACCTCTTTTAATGAGAGGGTTCCAGTGCCCAGGCATGGGGGATTGCTCTCACAGGTAAGACCCTCAGCTCTGCTCCAGGAATCCACAGGGCAGGTACATGTTGCTAAAAACTCTTCTTTGGTCTGCAGAAGCTGCTCAGACATTGCGAGAGCTGACTGAGGAACACAGCGCCAGACTCCACGGCACTCTGCTGCCAACCAGCAACCACCTCACTTACTCCCTGTCTCAGCACTAGATTTTCACTGCATCGCCTAATGCATCTGCCTGCAGGGAAAGGAAAAGCCAGAGTTCACCAGAGCCCGAGGTCAGCCCCATTGCAACCACCTCCCTTCTGGCTCTAGGCCACTGCAGCAGGCTTGTGTTCAGGTAAGCAGCCGGGCTCTCTGGCTGAGGAAGGAAGAACCTCTCAGTTGCAGCTACATTCACCCTGGCTTGTCCCAGGAGTGAACACGCTGGCCTAGATAAGCCCTTCAGCGCTTATGCTTGGAAGTAGAGCAGCACGCCTACAGCTACATCCACAGAAGCAGTGCCACCCACTTGAGCCCCACTAGATGCTGTTTTGAGTTCTCCAAGGGTTAATTCAGTTTCCTGCATTCAAAAACCCATCCATCATTAAGATCTCGAGGTGCTCAACATGAAGATGGCATGGGGCAGACACTGCCCTGTACCCAACTGCCTGAAATCGAGACTGTTACAGCCTCATCCAGCCTTTCCCATCAGCCCACTAATGGGCCAGGCGGAGAAGGTATCTTACAAAGTATATGTCTGTGACTGGCACGTCATCTTCATCCGAGGCCTGGCTGGCTGGTTCGGAGGCCTGGCTGGCTGTCTCCACCTCTATTGTAGCTGTAGATGTTACAATGGCACAGGCTGAAGAAGCCGCCTCTCTGGAGGGGGGAAGAAATGAGAGAGTCTAGTCAACGCGATCAGAAAAGGACCAAGCAAGACTGTGTGACTTATTACAGAGGAGCAGAAGATGCTCCGCTGTCACATCCAGAAAGATCAAGTCAGGTAAGAAGTAACAGCGCTCAGCTTCACTGAACTGTCTGGGGGGAGCACCTATCTCTCCCGGAAAGCTGGTGCCCTACAAAGTCAGCCTCCAGCACAAGTTGCCACAGACCAAATAACACCGGATAGGGCTCTGCAAAGCTGCCCAACGCTCCGAAACACTCACTCTTTGTCATCTTCTTCAGGAGCTACGATCTCAACGTCACACTTGGGCTCCAGCTCGACACTGATCTGCTGAAGCTCCTCCTCAACCCGCACCTCCTCGTGTGACCTGGAAACCGAAGAGAGACAGGCCCAAAGGCTCAGCTGGGCACTAGTTTTGCACAGTCCTCAATTTTAGGTCAGCCTGAATCAGTCCTGAGTCAGCCCAGCCTCCCACACCGCAACCTCCCACAGGAGCGAGCTGTGCTGGTCTGCTCCGGCATGTGGCTGCCTGCTGCAAGCCACTCGCGGCACCGAGCTCCTGGCACAGACTGAGCAGTTGATTTCGGCTCAGAGGGAGCTGTCAGAGCTCCCAGGATTGAGGATTTGGATAACCAAAACTCCCAGGCAAAAGAGTCAGACCTTTCAGACTGCAGTGCTCAGGACTAACGAGGTGGGAAAAGAGGACAAGAGGAAAGGGATTAATTAGCCAGTGCTGCAGAGAAGACGGGGCAGTGTCAAATGGAATACAGGAGGAAAGAGGAGACTTGGCCTCTGGGGAAAACCTGTGTCCAGAATTAGCCTGGCATTATCTGTCAACCGCACAAGGGCCAAAGCCTTCGACCTCTTCCGAGACTCCCAGCACACCACAGCTGCTCAAGCACGCTCCAGGGTTAACATCAGATTTATCTGCACACTCAGGAGCTGTTTGTGACAGTCTTCAATTTAATACCTCATGCTATTAAAGTAATTGCTTGTGCTAGCAGGGCTGGCTCCACAGTCCTCATGGGACAGAGGAGTGGGCGCTTGCCAAGCCGAGGGCACAATCTCGGGGAATGGATGAGCTCCGGGTTCATCGGCAGTACTGTCCTGCTCTGCGACGACCCTGGCTGGGAGCTGGAGCCAGCAGGCGGCACTCCTGTCCAGCTCGGTGCCAGGGAACTCGCTCCTCTCTTCCTCGCAGGGGTGGATCTCAGAAACCCAGAGGGAATTCCCCAGCAGTTAGAATAATCAGAGGTGTGACACATTCTTGAGCAAATTGCATAAGGTCTTTTTCATTTCAGCTCAGGAATGTAAATTCACACTTTAATAACTTTGTTCTTGCACTGGCTTTCACCAGGGGATCACAGAGTGCTCTACAAATACACAGGTCCCTGCTCCCCTAGAAAGGGCACGCTGAGACACCAGCACCAGAAATGGAGAAACTAGGCAAAAAAATAGCAAAGAAGGCCACACTTGTGTGGGGTGGTTGTAGCTGTATCAAATCTGTGACAGACGGATGTACTTCTGACCAAGACGCTAAGCTCCCTGTAGGGTCCAGGGACAGCCACTTCGATTCACCTGACCTATTTCTGGTTGAGTAGTCACATCCTACAGCAACTCCCTCCATTAGGTACCAAGGGAGTCCGGAGTAACTCGGGTGAAGTCACTGCATTTTGCCAAATGGGTCCCACCACTGGTGCCTGAGTTTAAGTCTCCAATTTTCAGCTATTTCAGACAATGGATTCTGCAGGAGGTGAGGTGCTTCACAGGTCCCTGACGCTTCAACGGGTGCTGCAAATCAACAGCAAGTAGGTCCTCGCCCTCCAGTGACAGGAATTTACCAAGATTCAGCAACATGCAGCATCCAGATGTATTTTCATTAAGAAATACCACAGAACGGGATTTTTTCACAGTGTATGTGGTCTGAAGCTCAGCAAATCACTAAAAGCTAGGAACGAGGAGAAGTGTCTGTAGGATGGTGCAAACCCTCATCTTCCAAAGTCCTTGCCTTTCTCTGAAGCACCAAACACTGACTGCAAGGAGAGAGGACATCAGCCTGTCCAGCAGCTCCTCTGGCTATGGCACATCCCAAGATTGAGTCTCTGATGTGCATTTCAAAGTCTGTGCCTACAACACTTACAAGATGTCCCGGAAAGCTAGGGCAGAGTCAGCAGGCAATGGGGTCATTTTTACTGGTGCAAAAATATGCAAGATAATTATATGATATGAGCCTCTAAATCCAGACATCCCTATGCAGTAGGGGATTTTTGTCCTACCTTGCCCTTGGCTCTGAGCCACCTATCACCACAGGAGGGAAAAAAACCCTCAAAGTACCCAAGTTTCTGGAAACACTGGAAGCTACTTCTCTGGGGACTAAGGGTGCTCAGTGCCTCACAAAGTCAAAGCCCTCTCCCATATTCACACCCACCGCACCCAGGCAGATGCACAGAGGCAGAATGTTCCTGCTGTTAAGGCTCGTTTACCCAGAGGGGGACATAAATGACCCTCTTTGATTCTGGTGCTGGTTGGGTGGGTAAATTTGGACAACTCTGTTGTCCCCTTTCCTGTCAAATAACAGGGGTAATATTTAAGGTTCCTTGCAAAGCACTGAGAGATCTGCTTGTAAGAAAAATTCTGTGTAAGAAATAAGAATCATTTGATTGCAGGAAGAAGCTCATCACTCTGCAGAGGACCGTGCCAAAACCATGGGGCTGCCAAGATTCACATTCAGCCCTCCAAGAGATCTTTGCACAGGGACAAACGTGAGGTCTCTGTGCAGCTGCACAAGAAGACATGAGACACTTTTCTCACCTGCCATCCTGCCCTGAGGAGTGTGTGCGCCTCCTGCAGAAAGAAACCAGAATAGTAGAGTTTGAGGAGCGGTTTAAAACAAAAATCCTACACTGCCCCCAAATCTAACTCCCCACCCCATGAGGGAGATGTTCTACTTAACAGCTGACACTTCTCCCAGCAATAATTAATCCCATCAAAGCTGTGTCTGCTTGCTCCCAGGAGAGATTTAATTAAAATCGGTCATTAGCATTCCAGAGCATAGGGCAGCCTGCCGAGATCTGCGCACGAAGAGGAATGGCAGCCTCTTGACTCCAGTGGGAGCAGGGGATGAGTGCTGTCCTCACCTGTACCTGGGCTGCTCAGAGGTCTCCGAAGGGGATCGCTCGGGAACAGAGAGAGATGTTGAAGATAGTGTTGTGGCTATGGAGGCTGTAGTAGCTTCTTCAAAGGAAGGAGGTGTGCAGGGTAGCAGGTCTGGCCTGCCTGCTGGCCCGGAGTGGAGGGCAGGAGAGATGCAGGAAGAAAAAGATGAGTAGGTCAAACACCAACACTTTACCTACACCAGCCCTCTGTGAGGCTGTTCCACCATCAACCTGCACACCCTCACTGGGACTGGTCACTTAAAACTACAAACAGGCAAGAAGTTTAGCTGGGTTCAGGAATGCAACGGCTTCTCCCAAGGCATCCTCTAGAGAGAGCCAGTAAGCACCATTTCCAGCATGACAGACAAGACACTACAGGAAACGTAATGCCAATGAAGACATCGCACTGGTAACCAAAGCTGGATTAAAGGCTTGGATCGCCAGAGATAAATATCCAAGTGAATTAAGAGATGAATCGAGTGCTCGCTGCTTTGCACGGGTAGAAATCTAGCACCTATGCACTCGAGGAGCCTGTCCTTCACCACTCATCTGTAAATTCAGCCCAGATGGAAGTGATGAAAAGGCAGCACAGAACCAGGCCATTCATCTTTTTTTCAATGGCAAGGTCTTGCCCCTTATAACTGTCTAAACACTGCCATTACAGTCCTGCAGTTCCCAGCCCCCACCCCTTTTTTTTTTTTTTTTTTTTTCCCCCTTTCTCCAAAAGAGTGGAGCATTCAACTTTCTGATCACTTTTGGGCTATGACTGCTGGTGCCACTTGGCAGCGGCTGCCTCACAGCAGTGACGCAAGCGACCATTTTTACTGCAGAACCACACAGTGCTGCAAAGAAGGGATTCGGTCTTCTTCGATGCAGAGGCGTTGCTTCCCCAATCAACTAACTGCTGGTGCTGTGACAAAACAATATACGCTTACCTTCTCCCCTGTCCTGATTAAGTTTAGCACCTGCAAAGCACAGCAAGACATGCAATGAAGAGCTACCCATCAAGGAATACATGTGTTCTGTGCACAGTGGGGAACTCCACGAGAACAGGCAAGGATCCTAAGGAACTGCTAGGAAAGAGAGGGTAATCACACAGCCATCAGCCACCAAACGAGACCATTACCTTCATCGTCAAGTGTGGGGTAACTCCTGGCCGCACGAAGATCATACTGTGTTTCATCCTTTTCAGAGGGAAGCTGGCTAGCTGAAAATGCAGCTGTTGGACCGGCCGTCTTGACAGCTAGCAAGGCACTACGCCCTTTCTTTGAGGGAGATGACTTCAGAGCTGGATGAGAAGAGTGAAAGAGAAGATGAAGTTACCACCACCAACTGCTGTCACACCAAAGGCACTTTTCCCTTCATAAGGAGGGGCCTCTGCCCTCAGACACACACACACACGTCCTCTGCAAGTGCCATCTCCAAAGGACTGAGCCTGAGTCAGGCTGCAGGGAGAGCTCCTGGGTGGGAGTCTGAGCAGACCAAAGCAAGCCGTGACAACCTGAGGGCTTTGCAGTTCCCCAGCTTTGCTCTATATTACAGTGGAAAAGCCTGCTCAGACTCCGGCCCAGAAACTCTCCACGTGGACTGAAGCAGCAAGATTGAGACAAGACTTGCGTCACACCACAAGGCCAACAGCTCTTGGACTAGGTACTTACAGGAATTCTTTCGAAACACTGTGTTGGTCATGAATTTGAAGAATCTCTCTGCATAAAAGCTGGGTCTGTGTACTGACACTGTGTCCTACAAAGGCAAGAAGCAATTGTTTAATTTTAAAATTATCCCTCAAGGCAGAATTTCTATAACAACCAATGCAGTCTTTTTTATTCCAACATTTAGCACTGATAGAGCCTTAAAACGGAAAGGCTTAACTGAAATGATCTGATTAAAGCTATAAATAAGCCTGAAGCATTGCCTTTGATTTGATTGCATTTGATTATATTCTTGCTGTAATTTTATAATGGATTTTGGTGTTTTTATTCCTTCGTAGACTTCCCAGATTTTTCAAAAGTTGGCCTGATTACATACATGAAATTTCTTCTGGCTTTGTTGGCTGACATTCAAAGCACACCTGGATAGCTTTGCATATGACACGGACACCAAAATTCAGCCAAGGGTCTCCATGCATTTCAAATGGTTTGCACTTTTTTGTTTAAAATAGTAAAACTGAAGCTGTCTCCGCTTCTGATGTTCAACTGTGCTACTATGACTTGGCATCTACGCATTTCCTTTGCCTTGTTATTTAAGGGAAGCTAGGATATGCAATGCTGAAAAATAGTTTCCACATTCAACGTTGCTCTTTCGTGAGCATGCACCTGGCTGCTGCAGGAGACAAGACAGCAGGGAAACACTGAAAGGGATTTATTAACAGATAGCTTACTGAAGTGGAAACACAGTCAATCACCAAAGAGAGCAAACGCAGGGCTCCTCGACGCATACACGAATGCACGCGCCTTGTGCGTACAGCTCCTGGTATCATGGGGAGGAGGAAAATGACAGATGGGAGCAGAGGAGGAAAGCTGGTAGCACGACAGCTAAACATGCGAGGAGGTGGAGTGCGCAAGAAATCCTGATTGGGAATAAGTGGCACTACACCGCTGTGGAGGCATAAGAGGCAAGAACTACTCCTTTCATCAGCTTCAACTGTGCCAGTTCAGGCACTATAAATAGCAAGGTAATCGGCACCAACTAGCATAAACAAAGCCAAGGCAGGTAATCCTGCCGAGGCCTGGACAATTCCTGCCTCTGTACAGGCACTCACCCCATCATGGACAAGGGCCTTCCAGGTATGTTCTAGCTTCTTGATGAACCTAATTCCAGGGGAGAAGTGGAGAGAAAAAGAAAGAGACAGATTCAAGCACATACTCTATATCTAAAGCCACCTCTCATACCACACACGGGAGAGATCACTGAGCTGCTAATGATTCCTCCCTCATCTGCAGTGTAGCTTTCCTCCAGCCAAGAGAGGTCAACTGAGCACACCGGCATCTCTGCAGTCAGGTCAGGACTGCCTGGGCACCCTACAGGGAAGGAGGAGCTGCACTGGAAAAGGGGCAGAAAATCACCTTCCATTCCTGGAGATACGCTACCCATCCTAGGCACAACTCATTATGAGCAACTCATTATATCTTAGAAAAATGGCTCTGTGTCACCAGCTGTTCTAAGGACAGGATAAAAATCTACAGCCCCCAACACGCATTGACAGACGGCTTTAGGCAGTCTGCCTACTCATTATCAAACTCTTCAGGAGAGGAAAATCTTCCTGCTTTCATTCAATACTAAAATAGATGTTAACACACTTAAAGGACAGACAACTGCAAAGTTACCTACCTGTATGATTGAAGGATATCTATTATTCCTACATGTAGTAGAAGACGCTCTCCTTTGCCATTCACTGCTGGGATTCCTCCCATCCTGGAGGTAAAACAAAACCTCAGTGAGTGCAGCCTCAAGAAGAGCAGCTGTAATACCCCCCGAGACCTGCGGAAGGGTGGACGGCAGCACTGAAAAGAGGGCTCTGATGTGGTGGTCAGACACAACGCAAAACCTGCAAAGTCACTTCGTGCACAACCATGGGAAGTCACCTACTGACCCAGGCCATCTCACACAAGGTGTCCCTGGGGTTACTGCTGGCCAGGATCACCAAACACCGACTATCAGGACAGGACCCATGTCATGTGGCAACAGCTCTGCCTGGGCCAGAAAGCACCACATTGTTTTTTCTTAGCTACAAGACATTTTATTCTGGCGATCAGATTATTTACCAGGACAGCGTGAGCTGTCTGCCTATAAGGGCAGCAAACCTTCAAGGACGAGGGTATTTCCAGTCCCATCCAACTAGTATCAGTCCTGCCAAAGGTGCAGCAACCACTAGCACCAGCACACAACAAAAACATGCAGGTATCAGGCAGGCCACTGCAATTAATGATGCTACTTGAAAGAATGGAAACACCAAAGTATTATCCCGGCTCCACCGTGACTGATCCTCCATCAAAACTGGAGCAGCTGGTTTCAGACAGCAACAAACAGCAAACTCCACCATTTGTTAGCAAGCTTGGTCCACAGAGCCAGAGAGACAGTCACAAAAGCCACCTGCAGCCCAAGAGCCATAGATCAGGCACAGCACAGGACAGGTTCTGGGCAACCCCCCCAACCCACAGCTCCACCAGTTACTCCAGCACTTGGCTACATTGCTGTTTGCTGAGCACTGGAATGGCCTCAGGGTACTGTCAGGGATTCCAAAGATGGAGTGATGGAGAACAAACTCCAAGCTCCTAGGGACAGGCTGATCCCTACTTCCACTCCAGTATTTGGATGCTGAGCTAGAACTGAGCTAGTTTCTCCTCCCGAGAGCATGGGTGGATGTTTAGAGGCTGTTACAGGAGCTGACAGCCTACAGACTGGCCTAAGAAGAGAGACCGCTGTGAGGCTGGAGTCTTAACAGAAATATTTCCCAGCCCAGCTTCCCCCTTTCACACCACACTGCTCTACTGGCAGCAGTACCATAACCCCCAGGAAAGAAGCTCGCTCTGTTCATATGGGCGTCAGTTAGGGATTTACTACTCCAGACTCCATCTCTGCCCCTCCCAGCAGCGCAAGAGAATCAGGTTTTCACCTACGTGTCGTCTGTGTCTATGGACTCCCCCCGGGCAGCCCCACCCTGGATGGACTCCATGGCCGTGGAGTAAAGTGCCTTCTGCCCCACGGGACGCTTCTCATCCGACGTGCTGTGGGCTCCCTCAGACTGTCGCTCCCGTTCTTGCTGGTCTATGTTATGAACCCCAAGCAGGAGACTGTAGTCCATGATTTTAAAGCTTTCCAACACCTACAGGTTAGTATTGAGTTTAAGAACAAAGACAAAATATCAGGCCAGCAGCTCAAATACAGCACAGAACCCAAAGCATGGAACAGCCTGTCCACATTCCCACTAAAAACTCCTTTGCCAGAGCTTGAACATTTCTGAACCAACAGTCATCTCTGAACTTGATCGCATAAGAGTTTGGCCATCCCACAATCAGCCCAAAGGGTTGGGCTGAAGGCTTGCAAATAACACTGTTATACCACGTATCTGCTGTACACTGTATAGGAAAAATGTATTTAGCTCCAACAGCCCAGCTACAAGTGGAGCAGGCTGCCACAATTTGATGCACCAGGCAAAGGAACGCAGCCTTAGTCCTCAGAGGCTGTAATGAGATCCAACTTCACTGCTTTGCTTTCAGGGAAAAGGACAGTAGAAGGGATTTATCCTGCTTTGGGGTCAGCAGATTAGCATGGTTCTCAATCATTTGCTCTTCATGCTTGAGAGCCACAGAACTTCATTAACCTGCTCCCCAAGCTGCCCCCCTCCTTACCAGACAGTCTCGTTGCAATGTTTTCACCAATGCACTGAAGGTGTCTGCATCCAACATCAGGCCCTCGGGCATGTCTTGTATGAAGTCTAGATCCTTGTACGTAGGGCTGGACTTTTCTTTTTCCTTCTTGGATGCTCGGCGTTTATAGGTCGAGCCTTTCAGGTCAAATTTCAGGTGCATTTTCACCACGCGAGGCAGAATGTTGTTCATCACCACCACACGGATGTTTTTGCCCCCTGATTGCACACAGTACAGTCCATAAAACTTCGGCAGCAGCGTCCGTGGGTTCTGGTTCAGATTCTGCAGCAGGGTTGGGAAAAAAGCATGAGGAGAGGTCATTTTGGCAGAAGACTCCTGCTGTGTTCAACACAAATAAATCTGCTGTTAACAGATCTCGGAGCAGTCAGACTAGGGTTTCTTCACCTAGAGATTTTCTGAACTTTACATGAGAGCTTACTGTACACATCTGACAAACTCTTGCATTTCAGTGGCTTTAGGACCTGAAAATACCACTATGCCTTGAATACAGGGAATGTATTCACTGGGCAAATAACCAAGTCCGGAAATTCCCCGCTTTCCCCATCAACAGTAGCTAAAAAAGGGAAACCAAACTGGAAGAGAAATAAACACAATAAGTGGGAACTTCAAGTTTAAAAATAACAGCTATCTTCATCTCTTCAGAAATGTCAGAAATCAAAAGCCGTTCTCTGGCCCAGAATAAACCAGGGACACGGTATTTTTTAAACAAAACAACATCAATTTTCTCTTCCTTTTGCAGAGTTGCTTTATAAAACACAGTTGGCCAGAGAGCACGGATATCCTGCTCTGCTATCATGTCCTTTTTTTTAGGCAGCGGTTATTATTAGGAATGACATGACAGGCATGATTTGCTTGTTCAGCTTTGGAAAAATTTGGGAAGGAAACAGAACATCTCTGCACATTACGAAAGAAAGGACAGACCTGACAGATTCTCTGACGGCAGAAGCATGACTATATTAAAATTTCATGCCCCTCCTCATCTCACCTAACCAGGCACACGAGTGAGCCCTCTTTGTGAGTGTGCTGTTCAACGTGGTGCAAGCTAAAAGCAACAGAGGCAGGCAAGACCGAACGCAAACAGCACTTGCCCAGCTTTAAAGTAACTCAGGATGAAACCACTCTGCTTCCTTTCCACTGACTCTTTTTTACACCAGATGGGTTTCCCCAAGAACAGCAGAGAGATCGTGTGTTAGCGCCACAGTAACCCAAAACACTGCAATGTTACAACAAGTAGCACATAACTCTGCCCCAGACAGGTAAGTTCAGTTTAATTCGTTACTCTGATTGCTAGCCAGGACAACTGCAGAATTCAGGACAACAGTGCAACTCCATTCCCATTCAAAACCCTCCACCTGATTTACTACATACATTAGGCAACAGGCAACAACTTCCAAGAAAGCTCATGCAGTCCAGGAACTTGACTGTCACTTGCAAAAGCAAGCAACTGGCTGTCAGTTATATACAGACACCCAAGATCTTGTCCACTTTGGCAAGTTTTCCCCAGTAAATATCGAGCGAGGCAAGTATTTTCATAAAAACAGTGTATGATCACATAACTCAAATCCACTGCAACATGCATGCAGATGGGGCAGCATTAACATTGCTTGCCATCACCTTCTCAGCATCTCCACAGCAAACAAATCCCTGGGTGGTTCTAACTGAATTTCAGTGCCCTCATCTATAGAGCTGGACCCTTCATCACAGTTATGCAGGGAGACAGCTCCTGGTTTATATGCCAAGGCATCAGGTTTGGTTCTGATTTACTACTTGTCACCACACGTAAGTCCTCTGGGTCTCAATATATTGCCTTGCTAGACCTGAGATTTAGGCAACAACTACCTGCAGCAGGCTGGATGTGCAAAGCTGGCTGGTACCGCAGGAGTCTTTAGCTTGGTAGTGCAGCCAGTGGGAGCCAGGACAACCAGCAACTGCCTTCAGAGCAACTCTGTTAAACAGCAGATATGGGAGACCTATCTCTGTAAGGCCTTTGACGCAGTCCCCCATAACATCCTTCTCTCTAAACTGGAGAGGTATGGATTTGATGGGTGGACTGTCCGGTGGGTGAGGAATTGGTTGGATGGTCACATCCAGAGGGTAGTGGTCAATGGCTCAATGTCCAGATGGAGATCGGTGACAAGTGGTGTCCCTCAGGGGTCCGTATTGGGACTGGTACTGTTTAATACCTTCATCAATGGCATAGACAGTGGGATCGAGCACACCCTCAGCAAGTTTGCAGATGACACCAAGCTGAGTGGTGCGGTCGACACGCCTGAGGGACGGGATGCCATCCAGAGGGACCTGGACAAGTTTGAGAAGTGGGCCCGTGTGAACCTTATGAAGTTCAACAAGGCCAAGTGCAAGGTCCTGCACCTGGGTCAGGGCAACCCCTGGTATCAATACAGGCTGGGGAATGAAGGGATTGAGAGCAGCCTTGCCGAGAAGGACTTGGGGGTACTGATGGACAAAAAGCTGGACATGAGCCGGCAATGTGTGCTCGCATAGCCTGGGCTGCATCAAAAGAAGGGTGGCCAGCAGGTCGAGGGAGGTGATTCTGCCCCTCTACTCTGCTCCAGTGAGACCCCCCTGCAGTACTGCGTCCAGCTCTGGAGTCCTCAGCACGAGACAGACATGGACCTCTGGGAGCGGGTCCAGAGGAGGGCCACGAAAATAATCAGGGGGGTGGAACGCCTCTCCTATGAAGAAAGGCTGAGAGAGTTGGGGTTATTCAGCCTGGAGAAGAGAAGGCTTCGGGGAGACCTTATTGCTGCCTACCACTACTTAAGAAGTAGGTAGAAGGCTTAGAAGAAGGCTTAGAAGAAAGATGGGGACAAACTTTTTAGCAGGGCCTGTTGTGACAGGACAAGGGGGAATGGTTTTAAACTAAAAGAGGGTAGATTTAGACTACATGTAAGGAAGAAATTTTTTACAATGAGGGTGGTGAAACACGGGCAGAGGTTGCCCAGAGGGGTGGTGGATGCCCCATCCCTGGAAACATTCAAGGTCAGGTTGGACGGGGCTCTGAGCAACCTGATCTAGTTGAAGATGTCTAGATGGACATCTAGGACTAGATGACCTTTAAAGGTCCCTTCCAACGCAAACTATCCTATGATTCTATATCCAGGGACAGCAGTGGTTTCCCCACAAAACCAAAGTGGTTGTGTTACTGCAATCAACAGCCATCCTCAAAGCCAGGCTAAGGCAGGTGCATGGTGCCAAGCGAAGAAGAACGAACTAGTGCCGGGAAAAGGACACCCAGAAACACACATCTGGGAAGCCATTTCCAGGCCAGAACATGCCTACAAGCTATGGCACAATTATCTGCCTCAAGTTTACCCACAGAGTTTGCAAATAATTGGCAGGCTTTGTGCTTCTGGGACTGGCTTCATGACACACTGTTAACGTTGTCCCTGGCACAAGGCAGGCAGGCTACAAGAAACGCTGGTGGAGGACATGCCCTGTGCGATGCTTTGGACAGAAAAGCTGCCACGACAAACTCAAGTTGGGTCCAAGGTGCTGGGTGATACACACCATGTAGTAGCCAGGAAGGAGCTTCTGTAGGAATTCAGCTTCCTTGTGCATCACAGTTTTTATGATGAATTCATCGTCACTGGTGACATAGAAGAGGGAGCCGCTGGCACCAGGGTTCGACAGCTCTATCAGAGGCTCATTACATAATGAATACTAGGGAGGAAAAGAAAAAAAGATGATGTTTTTAGCCCCCGTTCATTGCACATGGAGTTCTACGCCCTTGAGGGCTTTCCCCAGCATGCTGACTCCCTGTGAGATTAAGGGGTAGCAAAGCTTAAGTGAGAACAATTTTCATTATAGGTTAGGTCTAAGTGGCAAAGCTGATGGATAATTTACAATTAGAGACCGAGATTACAGTTCAGAGCATCCCAACTGCTCAGAATCAAGCTAATAATCTGCTTTCAGCAACATCCAGGCTTCATAATGACATCTTATCTTTTCCCGTTGTGTGTCTATGCGTGTATCACATTTAGGCTTCTTTCAGCACATTACCGCAAGCACAGATGGAAAGATAGCATTTTAAGAGACATGACAGTCTGCTCAGGGTACCAAATATCACCTGGAGGGAACACAATGCACTGGCTGTTCTCAGTTCTGGCCTTGTGCTCCCCTGTTACAGAGGATTTTTACAACCACATCTCACCCCCTCAATCCTGCTAGAAACACATGAAAAGTATTAGACCAGGTGTCCAAACAAGAAGAGAGGGATCAGCGCTGTGTAAGCACAGCAAGGGGTACTGCATCAGGAACTGAATTGGGAGGACATTTCTAGACATCAGTATGCAAACAGCAGGTCCTCAAATGAGGACATGCCTAGCAGCCGGAAATAAAAAGAAGAAAGCACAAGCACGCACGTGCACTTTGCAGCTCGGTACCAACCCCAAGGTAACTGCATAGGCCGAGTGGGTTCAGGGCAGCGTCACGTCAGAGTTGCCACAGCAAGAGGTAAGATGGGGAGAGGGAGGTAGGGTATTAAGGGACATAATCAGAGCAATAAGTTAAATGCTCATCATTACGTACTGAAAACAGCTTTCAGCACTGCACAGATTAATGATCCAAGACTTTATCAAGTTAATTATCTCATGCATAATTAAAGGCATTTGCTGCTGTGGCAGGCAAGGAGAGAATCAGGGGAAACAGAGGCAACAAATCAGAGCTATGACCTTTGCAACTGAGGCAGGCGCTTTGCCTCACCCAAGTTTTGAGCCACTCATCGAATCAGCCAGCATTATCTTGGATGGCACAGATGGGGATCACTGTTACTGTCAAACCGTGCAATGGCACAGATTCGTTTCTACTTGTAGGTGTTCAGCTATGATTACCCCTGTCTACAGCTGAAGTCAGAAAAAAAGGGCTATCAAAAAAGGGAGAGGGCATGCGTTCATTTGGATGTGTTCTCTTCCCCGGTTCAACAAACGCCCTTTCTTAAAGAGCAGGACGTCACATACATGCAAGGGACCAAATTCAACCCCAGTGTACTCCAAGCCCCAACAGCTTGTACTGCTAGGTATTTTAAAAACAGCTTTTCCAGCTCTGAGGAGCTTTCTGAGCATAAGAACAAGCTGTATTTTATTCTGTCTTTGTAAGATGATTAAAATAACTACACTCACATAGCTGTCGAGTGAGTACACAAGGAAAAATTCCCATCTTAGTCCTCAGAGCCCCAGAGGACATTACAGGGTTGCACCCAGCAGAACACAACTCCTTTTGCTTGTAAACACAGTAAGTTATTGTCACCACAAGCAATCGAGAGGGAACCCTATCGCATAGCTTACACAGCACACACTGTATGCAGATCATTTCCTTTCCCCCCAGCATAAGCTAGCAGCTACCTCTTAGCAAATGAAGACTTGGGCTGAGTGGTGCTGGTCTTGCTGGGACTCGTCACCGGATCTCCTCCAAAGCTGAACAGAGTCCCTAAATCCACAGCCTGTTCCCACTCCTTGCTGGGATCAGAACGATTCCTCAACTCTTTTTTGTCTCTTTTAAGCAAGAATTGCTGACAGCCTTGATTTAGGGGCAAATTTCTTGTATTACTCTAGACAGACAAATAAAGGAGGAAAGACAGAGAAATCCAAAAATATATCCATACCAAATAATCATCTGGACGAATCCCAAAGAGTTCTCGGAAATACCGAAAAGCCACTGGTGCATAGGTCTTGAACCTGAAGTCAGCATAATGGTGAGCCGGGGTGAGATTACTGCCTTCGCTGCACAGAACAGACATTACGTGAGCAGGGCCTCTGTATTACCATTCACCAGATATGTACAGTCACATCAAGGCTACTGTATATTTAAGATTAATTGAGCCTTTCAAAAAGACATCTTAGGAACAACAACAACAACAGAATATATCTTTCTTCTGTGGCAGGACAACAGGAAAATCGGTTTTAAATTATCTGCCAAAATCTATTTCCAAAGAGTGCAAGGAACAGCCACTTGCCAAGCAGAATATATTTACACAGAGAATATAGTTTTTATGAGCTTTGTTTATTCACAGAGTTAAAGAGCTCCCAGAATGAGTTTCTTCCATCTCAAACAAGGTGTAATTTTGTGGAAGAAATTCTAGACGGGCAGGTAGAAAGAAAAGCACGTAGGAAGGCTAACAAACTCAAGCATATAGTACTGCATCTTACACTGTACTTCCTTGCAAGCCAGTGTACTGCAGAATCTAACGCTTCCCACTGTTATGTTTGTATGTAATGGATGCATCTTTAAAACATTCAGAGCATCCAACTCTGTGATCTAAAGACAGATGGAAGCTCTGTTGAAAAATCAGTGAGAGGAAAAGAAATAACTCATCCATTCATTTTGCTTCCCCTGTCTCCTTTACCTTGGGAAAAAAATGCTCTCTACCACGTAGAAGTCCTGCATCAGAACATCTCTCTCTGGCTTGGAGCTCAGATTGCCGACAGTATACCCAATCCCTAGCTGGATGGCCCCCTTCAGAGTGGATGAAGTGGTCTGGCAGAAAGAAAAGAGCAGTCAGTGAGCATTTCACAGCAGATTATTGCAATAACATCCCCTATATTACAATACAGTTGTGTCTATGACTTCTATGGGGTCGTCTCGGGCACTACATACTGCTAAACAAGTTCAACTAGCCGCGAAGAGATGGATTAAGGCTTCCAGAAGGTTTGCCGTTTGCAAGATTATGGAATACAAGGGTGCTGCATAAAATCTAAATCAGATTGGTAGCTACTAACAAACTGAACCAGGAAAGCTCGGTTGTGCTATGGGCCCCAACTTCTCTTCTCAGCCTGCTACCTACACACAGCTGTCAGTCCCCACTCCACAAAACCAAACCTTTTTGTAGGTGGTTTCACCAGAAGCATCAACGCCTCGATGACCTATCTTCTTCCCTTGGCCAGGCTGCCCTGGTAGCGATGGTCCCTGCAATGAAAGAGCACGGCTAAAGCCCAGAACAGAAGCTGACCTGGCCAACACGAACAAGCAGAGCAGCACAGGCACAACCACACTATCACGGCTGTAAAGGACAGAGGGATCTCTACCGCTGGACAAAAATCTGCAGAGTGCAAACAGGTGTAATTGGCACCAGCAAGCCTTAAACAAGGCTGTTTGAATTACACATCCATCCCTCAAGATAAGAAGAGTTATAATACCCAACCACTCCATCTGACACCCTCAGTACTAACTGGGCAGAGCCCTCAGCAAAGATGCTGAGCTTAGGAAAGATCTGCTTGCTTCCCAGCTGCCAAGATTCCGCAGCAGTTGCTTGACTGCGGTTTCTCATTGATTTAAAGTAGTGATGTATTAAATCAAACAGTGAGAGAAGTTTATTCTTAAATATCCCATGCCCTCAGGTGTCATACCAATACCTCGTGCTTCACTGGAGAAATAAGAGACAGGTAACAGGGACAACACAATTACACTCCTGTGTTCACATGGAGATAATCCATTTAAGCAAGATCTCATTTGTTTACAGTTCAAAGGACGAGCCCACACGGGCTGAACTGCAATAACAGCTCTTCCTGAAGTTTTGCAAAGAGTGCACAGAAACACTATAGGACTGCCAGCACTTCAGAGTGAGAACAAACCTACTCCTATCCCATTTTCCTCCTCTTCCACCTCTGAGTCTGCCTGGGCCTTTTTTTGCTGATCCAGGAGGGAGCAGATTGCGGCTGTACTCTTTAACAAGCCAACACAATCATCTTTTGTGAAGTTTGATACAGATCCTTTTGCAACCCCAAGTGTAGGGCCTCTACACTCCGCCACCGAGCGAGGTTTCACCTGCTCCCCAGCTCTCCCGTCACTCCAGCGGACTGCGGAGCCCAGCAGATGCCTAAAACTGACGGTGAGCCACCAGCGACATTTGGGGGTTTGTTACACTAAGAACAGCCAGGCTTTGGATGCTCCTCTAAGCAGCATGCAGAGAGATCCAAGGTCACTTCCCAAGTGACAATATTATATCACTGTCTCTCTCAAGTGCCGCACAGACCCATCTCTCAGAACTGATGTCTACAGCAGACAATGTATAATTTTGTTCAGACTACAGAAGTTCTTTGTGTTTTAGCTTTTAATCAAGAGCTTGCAGCTATTTCTGGTCAAACTGCTTGTACTTCTGATACTAAGGGGCAATCTGATTTCTCCTTCAAAAATCTTATTTCCTACTCTGTTTTAAACATTTAGGCTTGCTTCTGAGTACTCCTTCTCCAAGCAGTTGGGATTAGCAGTACAGCTTATCCTTTCCTTGCAGCTTCTAACCAACAAGCTGGATCCTGTTACGCGCAAGCTTAAGCTGTATCGTCCTGCCTCACCACGTGGCTCATCATCACCCTATCAAAGCGATTAACAGATGTTTAAGAGATTGCCAACATAGAAATGCAGTAACAAAAGTCTCTTCCACACTCCCTTGCTCTACCTGGGACTGTGTTTCCAGGGCAAGGAAAAGTGGGGCTATTTGTGCATTGACCAAAGCAATCAGCTTCCACAGAAGTTGAGCTTCCTACTATGCATATTTCTGGGGAGGCAAAAAGAATCAAGTGTCACATTCCTGGAGTTTTATGGGAAGATTTTGCTATTCATGTACACAAATGTTCATCATCCCAGGTGAGTAATGTACAGGGGTATGTCAGAAAGTTAGATCAAACAAAAGTCTTTTGAACATGGTGCCCTAACCCAAGAGTGTGGGCTTCAGGGAAAAGCTTTCAGGCACAGATCCTCCTACTAGATCCCCTGCTGTCAAACGTGAAGAGTTTTGCTGCAGAAGGTAACAGTGATTCAGCAACCTGCGACCTGGATTACGTGTGAGAGGAGATCAGTCCCTCAAGATGTTCCCCTGTTTTACGGCTTCACAAATTACAGCCTCCTTGACTCGCTCCCAGGAGTGGGTGAGACCCAACACAGAGCCCTGGAGATACCCAATACACGGACTCTCTATTTATCACCTTCAGGTTCTGGTGTGGAAGAGGTGCCCTGAGCCACTTACAGACATCACGGATCATGCAGCTAAAATTGGCCACATGGTGGGCATAATCCCTTCACATCCCCTCTGTGACTGTGGTGATGCCAACACAGGGACTCCAGAGACCTGCCACTAATTTTCTTTCTCCCAAATAACAGATATCAAATTTTCAGTAATCTTAAATGTATTTTGAAATCCAGCTTTGCTCAAAAAAGTCAGGCAGAAGTGTTTTCTAGAGCTCTGTGTTCTCATTTTTCAACATGGGGTTTTCAAGGCCAGCTTTACACATCTCACCTCGGTGATGGCTGCCTTCTTTGGTGCCAGACCTGAGGAGAGAAGGGAAGAGCATCAGTAAAAGTAGGGACATCAGAAAAAAAAAAAACCCACCAAGAAAACAGCCTAATGCTTTGCTCTTTCAAGCAACTTGGAAAGCCTTTAAAAGCAGCTGATTTTGCTCAGTTTTTAGTTTCACTAGTGCAGGAGTCTGAACTTACAGGGGTCACCCAAACAATTTCATATTCAGTAGCACAAAGATGCACAATTTTTCGTAGCAATAGTGTTTCCTAGAGGCTTCAGTAGAGAGAGTTCTTGTAAATCCCTGCTGCGCTGTAAGCAATAGGCCCACACTACACTTGAAGAGTCGGTTACATACAGAAGCCCAGAGAGACACTTACGAAGCTACTTTCCAGTCACTCAGAAGGCACTCGGCAAACTATATTGATAATTGAATCTATTTATAGAATCCAATGTCCAAATATATTGCAAAAATGAATGCATCATTTATCTCTACCACTGCCTTTGGGAGAAGCCACCATTACTCCATTACAGTCAATGGTGAGAAATTAGGATTTTGCCCAAAGCTTTTAGATATATAATCAGAGTTGGAAACATGGGCCCAAACCGTCCTGTAACATGAGGACATCTTTCCATTTCCCAGCATGAGCCCAAGTTTGCAAGGAGCTCCTTATTTTTAGGCAACAGTGAAAACAGGCTCCTCTGCCACCAGCCCCGCGAGATGTTCGCTGACCTGCTGAGAGCCCCGCGCGTGGGACCACAAGCTCCAGCCCAGCTGACTGCGGAGAGCCACCGTGAACAAGGATCAAGAGCTGCTTAAGAAAAGCAGCTCCCTACCCCACCCCAGCAGCACAACGTCCCCTGCCAAGGCAGCTCCCCAGCCTCCCCCAACCTCTGCCTGCAGAGCCCAGTTATTAGGAGAGAAGCCTGCCTGCAAAGAACGCAAGCCCAGGTGATATATTTAAGGCCATCTGTTTCCAGGTACGAGTCTGCGGCTCCCTGCTCCCGTCTGAAGCGTTCCTACAAGCACAGATCATTAAGCAACCCACAATCCTTTAGAAAGGGCTTAATTTCGCAAGAGACCATTGAGCAGAGCTTGAAAGCTTTGGCTGCGAAGAAGAAAGGCTCTTCTAAGCCCTCAACTTTTCCCCACTTGAGGGCAACGGGTGGATTACACAACCGCCTGCCGGCGTGCAAATCCTCCGACTCAAGAGGGATATCCACACTCAAGCTGGGGGGTGGGTCCCTCTCCAGGGGGAGCAAGAGATGTCCAGCCCTCCCGGCTGGAGAGCGGGAAAAGCCCCAGAGGATCCAGCCCAACATGCTGCTGCTTCAGCATCTCCCCCATTCAGCCAAGGAGGAACTACGATGGTTTAAGTGGGTAACCGCTCAACCTCCTCAAATACAAGCAGTGATGCTTTGAGGCTTGTTTCAAGAGGAGCCTGAGCAAGAAGTTGGGCATAACAGGAGCACGATTCTCTGCACATGACAATAGTGCTAGGAGAGTGCATGATTCAGTTACATTTCAGGAAATACTTCAGACACTGTGAAGCAAAAAACCAACAAACCCAACAAAAACCCCTTGGTGGTCACAGGGGAGATGAAATTGCTCTCAAGTAGAAGTGCTGAGGTTATCTCACTGTCCGGTCTCAGCAAACTGGGGATCCCCCAGTGCAAAACAGGTCTTGTCAATGTGGCATTTTGAACCGTCCGCAATGCAACCCCCCAGCCCGACAGCTTAGCCTGCGACTGCAAAGCCATAGCGGCACGGGAAGATTCACTTCTTGTTGTTTTGTTTTAAATCGTGCTCTCTAGTGCCCAAGTTTCACATCAGGAACAGAATCACAGGACTGCAGCAAAGGTCTGAAATCCTGCTCCCTCCGTGCAAGCTGCATCGCACAATCCCATCTCAAACGGGAGGACAGGAGGCGAGCGGAGCAGGAACCCCTCACTGGTGCAGAGCGGCTCCCCTCCATCACCCACCTGGGTGGCACATCCCTCAGTCAAGGCGCCATTGCCTACACGGGCGGGCGCCGCGCGCGATGGGCGACACGAAGCCCCGTCACTCCCTCCAGCTCTTTGGGACTGCACCAGCACGCAGCTCAGAGGACCACCGCTAGCTCAAACTCCACATCGGTCTTTGTGCTGAAAAATTAGTTCTTTGGCCTAAGACAATATAATTTTATGATTGCTCAACAAAAAGCCCTGCAATGGCCAGGGAAGCAGGAGAAATGGCACCGAGTGAGCATTTAGCTAACGAACTTCTAGGGCATGAGCTGGAGCAGCAACTGAAGACCACAGAGGAACCCAAAGGGGCAAATGCTGCTCCAGGTTGAACACTGGAAATCGCTGGGAACACAACGTGGCCAAGAGGGCCCCTGGCCAGGGAGACTACGCTCTCCCTGCCATGGCCGAGACTGCTCTCCTACTGCACTAATCTCTCTTCTGCACTTTGTCACAATTCCAGAACAGGAGATTATCTTTAATTTTGTGATAATTACCACAAGCCGCTTTCATTCCCAGCTTTTAAGTGTCTGCTGCTGTACACGTACCAAATGTGGAATCAACACCAACTGCCTGTGTGAAGGAAAGGTACCAGAGGCGAGGAACTGTGGATCTCCAGGAGAAATGATGCGTCAGGTGGACAAGAGCATCACCAGCAAAAACTCATTCCCCACCCCACAAAAAAAAAAAAAAGAAAAAAGAAAAAAGATCAGCTTTATAAAATCAACTTGTCTAGGCAGAAAATGAAAAAAATCTTCCACTGGCTACTCAGTGCGTAGCACTCGGCTGTGCTCAAACAAGCTGACAGATGGCCTTGTGAAAACTGATTTATCTCCAGCTTCGGGGGTTATACAGCCATGAGAGACAGCACTCGGGTTTGCGGGAAACAGGAGCTCTGCTGCAGGAAGTTTTCAACACTTAGCAAGCTAACTAAAATGATACTTATCAGATTTGGTGCAGCTTAGTGAGGGTGTATTCAGAAACGTTTCGAGCGGCTCTGGAAGGGGAACCCCGGGTTGAAACCCCAGCTTTCTGTCCTGCCTCCAGCTTGTGCCTGGGTTTTGTAGAATTTCATGCACGTTTGACCTGCTGCCTCCAGTTCCTCTTCTCATCTGCGCACGGCTTTGAGTCGACCGTATCCCAATGCTCGAGCTCCTCCGGAGCCTCAGAAATGAACGCTTCGGTTGTGGCATTCAGCAATTCTCATCTCTGATTTAACATCTATATTTTTCATATGCCTCTCTATTCACAGCCACACCGCCATGTCCATCCCCGCCACGATGCTGACACCCCGCAGGACAGGGATGAATCTACTCCCAGAAACCCTCTGCACATTTACTGTCTGACACAGAAAAGGACTCTCGACTTTTAGCTCTACCGCGCCAGAGGAGCGTCAACCTATGCAAGATGAGACAACCCATTTCTCCTCTTACGTGATATATAGCATCAACAAATTGGTGTTCAGGCCATTTTAGGCCCCTCACCCCGCATTTACCTATGCTGGAGTGCTCGCTCCCAGTAAGCAAAGCGCAACACAGGCTGGCAGGAGGGCTCTCGCTCACGAAGGAAACCCTCGTTACCAGGTTCGTCAGCCTCATCGGTGCTCTGAACTCACAAGGTGATGCAGGGTTGGGATCAGAGCAGCTCCCTCGGCTTCTGCAGCCCACAGCCTCTCTAGATGCTGTCATCAGGGAAATGCAAGTGATGTCAGAAGTTCAGAAGTTAAAAAACAAACATCAAATCTTTGCGCTTAAAAGCAAACTTAATGAAAACCAGAAAATATTGCCCTTGCTGTCCACAACTTAGAATGAGTTTAAGTTAAAAACGTGGGTTTCAAGTTTCATTTACATGCAGAGAATAAATTTTATAATCTAATCAAGGGGGAAAATAAAAAAGTCACTCGGATCTCTCAAAACCAGCTAAGGCAAGTTGGCTAGCAAAACCCCTTCGTTATAAACCTGGAAAGAGCCACGAGAGGCTTCTATCCACTGAAAAGGGATTTCTTAAGAAAGTTTACAAACATCCAGCAGAAGCCTCATTTAAGACCTAATAAAGAAGCTTCTTTATGAGACAGATGTATACATACATGCATATATATTTATAAATTGTAAGTATTTGATCCTTTATAATGCTCTCGAGAAGTCAAAGCAAATTTGACTAACTGGTAGGTTTATCTGGACTCCTTTCTCCAGTCAGAGATGGCGCTGCAACTTTAATAAAAGCTTCGCTTTATCAAAGTGTTTACCAGGAGCTATACAATGTGACTGCAACTAAAAATACGGGAGAATATAAACACCACGTAAGCTCTTCAGCTGGAGGCTGTACCAACGTGACCCCTTCAAAAATGCAACGTACTAGAGACTTGCAATTTGCCACCCGCTCTCAATCGGGGCAGTAGCAATTGCAGTCAAACACGGCTAGTTTTCAAAGTACGGTTCTCCAAAAGCACTGGACCAGCAGTTTATATTTGTTGTTGTTGGGTTTTTTTTATTTGTTCTTTGTTTTTAAACTACTGAGCTGACAGCAGCCTTTGCAAAATTGACATTTAATACTAACCCAGCGTAATCGGCTAGAAAGCTGTGAAATTCTGACAAGTCACACACACCCCCCGAAGGAGGTCTGGATCTAATTTTACACTTAATTCAATTGAGAACAAGACAACGTGACACACCTGAGCAACCCATTTAGACAATAAGAGGAGGTGAAGACTGCAACCAGGATGCTACGATTTATTGTTCAATCAGACCACTCTAAATGCAGCCCTGTCTGGTCAATGCATTACGTGCAAAAGCATTAAGAAACAGAGTGCTAAGGCACGAGCTGTGAAAGTTAAAGGCTATGCTCATGTAGCAGACGTGTTGCAGTCGAAATACAGAGAGAAAGGCTGGAAATGAAGCGTATCCATCAAAAGAGACAGCTGTTACTTTCCGTAAGGGACTGCTGATAAAAAGAAATTAAAATGGGGAGGGGGGAAAGGCAATTCAGAGAAGATGCCAGAAAACACATCTCCGCCGAGAAGCGGCATCTG